GCGTGTTGATGGAAACCCAGCTAAGAGTTTCCAGAAAGGCTTGCTAACTGTCACAACAGGTTAAGAAATCAAGCGTTGGCGCCTTTGCCAAGGTCATTTGCTTGGTAAACACAGAACCTCTCAGTACTAATAACACTTTTCTTTGTCTGAAAAGTGAAGGAATTGGGATAGGAAGTACAGACTTCCCTTTCTTGTCCCCTGGTGCATACATAGGCATGCGGGTTGTGTGTGTGTGTGTGTGTGTGTGTGTGTGTGTGTAGCACCATGTAAATAGCATCTTAAGATGAGAGACTCCAACTCTGCCAGGATGAGCTGTCTCTGAAGACAGTGTCCTTTCACTCCCAATTAAGACGGGGGGGGGGGGGGGGACTTGATTTCTTCTATTTTCACAGAGGGAGGGAATCTTATGGGGAAATACATAGCTAAAGAAATATATAGAGCCGGGCAGTGGTGGTGCACGCCTTTAATCCCAGCACTTGGGAGGCAGAGGCAGGCGGATCTCTGTGAGTTTGAGGCCAGCCTGGTCTACAAGAGCTAGTTCCAGGACAGGCTCCAAAACCACAGAGAAACACTGTCTCGAAACCCCCCCCCCCCCCAAAAAAAAGAAATATATAGAGTGTATTTTCTTTTCTTTCTTTCTTTTTGGTTTTTCATGACAGAATTTCTCTGTGTAGTCCTGGCTGTCCTGGAACTCATCTGTAGACCAGGCTGGCCTCAAACTCAGCAAAGGTCCGCCTATCTCTGCCTCCTTAGTGCTGGGATTAAAGGCATGTGCCACCACCACCCAGAAGAATGTATTTTAAAAATAAGGGAAAATAGCTTTCTCCAAGGGCCAACAGGTAGGTTTTGATTATAAAAAAGACCTTCAAATTTTGAGGCAATCTCCAGTAATTCATAATTCATGCATTAGGGCACAGAGTAGTGCATATGGCTCAGGACTGAGTAGCTGCTTCTCTTTCCAAGGACCCAGGTTCGACCCCCAGCACCCATCCAGAAGTTCACAACTGCCTGTAACACCAGTTCCAGGAGATTCAATGCCCTCTCCTGACATCTATGATTGCATGCACAAACATGGTATGCATATACGCTTAGACACACACATAAATATCCTTTGAAATGTATTAAATATAAATTTTTAAAATATAAAAATCGCAATATTTTAACGTCTTAATATAGTTAGGAAATGTGAAATTAGTTTTGTCTAGATCTTTGAGAAGGCCTGCCTAACAGTGTAAGCTGGAAAAGGCTTGAAAAGAGGTAACCTATAGCGCTGAGCGGAGAAAGGCATCTGGTCCCTTACGAAAACTAGGTGGGTAAGTGCCTAGTGGGGGACTGAGAAAACAGGTTCCCGAGCTGACAGGCTGAGAGTTGAATTCTCTCCCATTGCATTACACCTGTGATACAGATGACTACAGAAGCAGCATCAGGCCCGGGCGGGGGGTGTTGGTTTTTGTTTGTTTGGTTTTTGGTTTTTCGAGGCAGGGTTTCTCTGTAGCTTTGGTGCCTGTTCCGGAACTAGCTCTTGTAGAGCCAGGCCTGCCTCTGCCTCTTGAGTGCTGGGATTAAAGGCATACGCCACCACTGCCCGGCTGTTTTTTGTTTGTTTGTTTGTTTTTTTAAAAGCATATTTAGGCCAGGCCAGGAGGCAAGCACCGACAGAGGGTAATGGGCTGCAACTTGTGCAGTTTCTGGAAGAGCCCAACCCTGGTTTCCAGCAAACGCTAAGGAAGGAGGCACCTTGTGGTGACCAGTAGTGAACTGTTTGCCTATTTGTAGTCCTGGGTGAACAAACTGGCAAGCAAAGAAAGAAGCCCTGCTGCTTAGGAGGCTAGGGCTGTGGAAAACCGTTAAGGGACTCCGGTGCGTTCTGGCTGCTCTCAGGAGAGGCAAGGAGGGGATCTTGGGGGTGAATCTTCTGAGCCTGCTTGGAGAGGCCATACTACTCCTAGTTGGTTTACTCTTGGCTTACTCAGACTGTTACCCACATTGTAACATGATTTCACAGGACATTACAAAAGTTCCCCTGAAGCAAGGGAAGGTGGTGTGCAGGGAGACAGAATTGGGAGCAACCCACTCTCTATGCTCCTCTTCCTTCACAAGAACGGGGAGGAAGATACTAAAGCAGTGGAGAGGCCAGGACTCTAAATACTGTGTTCACAAATGAAACCTTAGCTTCTATAGTTTTTAGGATGCTTAACAAATTTTATAAATACAAGTCTTTTTAAATTGAGGTTTAAAAGCAGCAATGAAATGAAACCATTTTTTCAACTGCAATAAAGCAAAACCAAAAATGAACATGAAAATAGCAACACTTGGGCTAAAAGGGGGGGAATTATAATGAAAACTATAACAACTTTATAATCAAGAAAAATTATGTGTAAAAATTATAGAATGTGACCAAAGCCATACTTAAGAGAAAACCCATAATCTCAAATGTTTTTATTATTACATTAGAAAGAAATAAAGTACAATATGCTTGATTTTACTAATGCTAATACTGTGTAGGGCCTGAACAAAATATATTTCAGTCTTCATAGTATTTATCAGGTGAGTGCTGTTTATCACCTTTATGATAGGAGGTAGGTCCTGTATATGCCCCAATCAGGCACACGCATGCAGTGTACCAACAGTGCAGCCTGTTTCCAAGAACTACTTCACATGCCTCTTGATTTTATGCCACAAACGTTTATTAATGGTTATTATTCTACACAGGGCACAGTAAGTAACAAAAATTCCACAATGTTTTCTACCCTGTATAAATCTACTCACAATAAAGACAAAGGAGGGGATACAGTTTATAGTACGATTGCCACTGGTCCGGCTAGCTAACCACAGCACTAGGGTTGCAGTCAGAAAAGCGAGTCCAACTTGGGATGGGCACAGAGAAGTCTATTGGGGCGCTTGTTGTCCCCGCTTAGGGAAGCAGCTCTAAATTGTTCAAATGATTATTCAAGTCAAGAGAATCAAAAAGAGCATACACATTTCCATTTTATTAAAATAGTGTATAAATACAGAGCGGTTGGGCACATCCATTCTAAGGCACTGTTCTGGTTTAAATGCAATTCCACAAGAGAGAAAGAGAAGCCACTACATTCTGTATTTTTTAATCTCTACATTCAGACTCCTCTAATTTTAATCCCAGAATTATTAGCAGCATCATACAGGGACCTGGATGCCAAGAATTAAAGACACATCCTGGCTCTGGCACTTTATATGATTTGGCACTTAATTATAAGCTCTCTTGTATTTTCTCCATTTTTTCCCAACTCTTGTTTAACTAGAGATATTATAAAGTTTTATGAGCCTTACACATGAATTATGTTTTGTTACTAGCTTCAATTAAGACTAGAACAGGACAAGTTAGGCACATAATACATACCCGCCAAATACTTACATATCACTTCAAAGAACTTGAATGCAATGAAGAGATACATTTTCCTTAGTTCTACTTTAAAGATGACTGTGCATCTTCATAAAGGGAATATACTTGAATGTCCCATTTCATGTATCTAATAACAAGGACTAAGCTCAACGAGTATTTTCACATATCAATAGCTTCAATTGATAATGACTTTCTTCCTTACTATGAGACTTGAGTTGTTACTATGATTACATTTAGAACACTTATATAAGTAGCAACTCTGTATGTGTATGTATGTGTTTGTGTGTGTGATTATGAGTAAAATTCAAAAAAGATCAAGAATCACTAGGTAATTCATAACTTATGTGACGTAGTGACTGTCATCTCTGAAAATGATGTGTAAGTATAAAATTCAGAGGCTTCAAATCATTAAGTAACCCACAAATTATGTCACTTAGTGATCTTAATGTCCTTGAAATGATGTGTGTATAATACAAAAGATGTATATTTTCAAATGATTTTTCCTAAAATCCTTGAAATTGGAAATAACTAGGTTTAGAGCTACGGGACTACACTGATAGCTACAGACATACTGGTTTAAGGCAGTGTGTCCCAAGGGATACCTGCAGAATAGTCCTGCAAGCTATTACTACGAGTACATGACAAAGGTTCAGGGGTCAAATAAGTTTGGAAAGCACCGAGCTACAAGAGGTGCCTTAGCCTCCTTTACTAAACTACGCCCTTTCCAAGAGTCTCATATGCTGATGAGCATCATGAATCTAGGAAGGACAAAAGCTAGAAGCAGTTTCCACAAAGATTTGCAGAACGAAGTTTTCTATGACACATACTTAGGGAGACACTGAATAGAGAATGAACACAGTTTCAAAAGCACTGAAATAAACGTGAGAGAATACCAAAGCAGAACGAAAAGCCACGATACTTGTTCTTCAGTCCATCCAGATAAAGAGAGATTCTACTTGTACAACTTCAACTGTGAGTTACTTCTGCTAGACCTAGCAGTCAGAAGCACAGAACTCCACTGGAGTCCCCATTACCCCAGATGGCCAGCTAAGCAGAGCAGCAAACCCCGCAAAAGTCCGAGCTCAATGTCACAGCTCTAAGCATAAGACTGGAAAGGGAAACAAGCTTGCTCCTTCGGCCAATGGCATTCTCTCCCTAATCCTCCTGAAACGTTTGTATTGTTAGACAAAATTCACTGCCTCATTTCTTGTCACACGAGGCATGTCTATCTGAGTGGCCACTCTCACACAGCTGCCTTCAGCAATTCCGGAGGGGAGAGGTGTGGCAGTGGGATGGCAGACGCTGTGCTTCCATTACGCTGGTCCTATCTCTAAACGACTGCCACCATGTCTATGCTTTGTGCTTATCATACAGTTAACTGCCTTGGAATCAAAACTTTCCATTGCAATTAAACAACAGAAAAAAGACAGAATGTATGAAATTCGGAAAAACTGCAAGGATAGGTAGTCACTCTAGAACTCCTACACCTTGAAAGATGGGCTTTAAAAACAGCACCATCAAACCTGTACTTATAAGTTCAGACAAAAGGCTTCTAAGACAAACAGCTCCTATAGGCTCCAATGGTAACTGTCATAGGACCTGCTTCCCTTAAGAGTTCTTAAAGAAGTCCTCTGAAGTGTGTGACCTGGTGCATGATAAGGCCCGCTCGCTGTCTGAAGCTTTTAGAACAGTGAGTGCATTTGTATGGCTTCTCCCCTGTATGGATTCTCAAATGAATTACAAGGCTCGGTCTCTGTCTAAAGCTTTTCCCACAGTAGCTACATTTAAAGGGCCTCTCTTCCGTGTGTGTTCTCTGGTGCAAAGTGAGCGCCGTCAGGCGACTAAAACTCTTTCCACAATTATGGCATCTATGGGGCTTTTCACCTGTATGGGTTTTCAGGTGTCTTTTAAGACTCGATCCATGACAAAATCTTTTCCCACACTCAAGACATTTATATGTTTCCTCTTCAGAATGGGTTCTCTGGTGCCCAATAAGGTGTGAGCGCCGAGTGAACCGCTTTTTACATACAGTACATTCGTAGGGTCTCTCTCCGGTGTGAAGTCGCTGATGTCTATATAGGTCTGAGCTCCGCAGGAACCTTTTTCCACATTCAGGGCATTTGTGAGGCTCCTCCCCCGAATGAATTCTCTGGTGCCCAGTAAGCTGGGACTTCCGAGCGAAGCATTTTCCACACTGAGGACATCGGTGAGGTTTCTCTCCAGGACTCTTTTTCTTTGGAGGCTTTGGGCTGAGAGGTTCTTCCAAATTGGAGGTCTCAGGTGTCTCTCCTAGAGTGGGGTTCTGAGGGTCTCCAAGTGTGGTTAAGTCTGTCTGTAAATCCTCTGGGGGTGGATCCCACTGGTTTTCTAACTGCACATAGTCTTTCTGCAGGATGGGACCATGGAGAGCATTCCCTTCTAAAGTTACCACAAAAGGGTACATATCTTCCAGTTTTTTCTCTTTTGAAGGATCCTCTTCATTTTCTAGCCCCATCTCAAAACCTGAGAAGCAATAGAAACTGAAGATGTCACTGTGTTCGGAAAAGAGAACCAGTGGAGGAAAGTAAATAGTGAATAGAAATGCCTAGACACACTTCCATGCTCCTCACCCCCATTACTGCGCTTTTTTCCCCTCCTTCCCAGGACCAGAAAGGAACCATTACTTACCAATCTTGGGATCAAGCAATTGTTTCATATCTTTGGGATCCTGTAATTCTTTTACCCATGACTCTTCTCTATGATCCAATGGGAAGTTCATGTCAAGCTTTGGTAACTGATAACCTGGTCACAGAAGCAAAAGGGAGAAGCATGACAGTGTGGTTCATCAAGGGTTTTTCTAGCATATAGGCTGACTACATGGATATATAGCCTCTAAATACTCATATCCTCCCCAAATTGTTCCTTCATCTGGAGTCACTTAGAAGAGTCTTTTGAAAAGATAAGAACAAAACAACAGTTGAGAAGGCCATCTTTTTGTGATCTCAGGTGAATGAATCATGTGCTAAAAGCAATGCATTTAGCTCTGTATCTATTTTGATAATACATTTATTTATGCTAGAGATAAACTATGGAGTAAATCTTCATAGAATGTTGGTATACTAAAAACTGGGAATTACTGTTATTGAGTGCTTAAAGAAGAGCAGTCTAAACATACGTGTCAAAGAAGAGTTCTGTAAACATGTGTCAAAGAAGAGGAGTGTAAACATACATGTGAAAGAAGAGTGGTCTAAACATACATGTCAGAGAAGAGTGGTATCAACATACATGTCAGAGAAGAGTGATATAACATATGTGCCCAGAAGAGCGGTGTAAACACATGTGTCAGAGAAGAGCACTGTGAACACAGGTGTTGGAGAAGAGTGGTGTGAACACAGGTGTTAGAGAAGAGTGTTGTGAACACAGGTGTTGGAGAAGAATGGTGTGAACACAGGTGTCAGAGAAGAGTGGTGTGAACACAGGTGTTGGAGAAGAATGGTGTGAACACAGGTGTCAGAGAAGAGTGGTGTGAACACAGGTGTCAGAGAAGAATGGTGTGAACACAGGTGTCGGAGAAGAGCACTGTGAACACAGGTGTTGGAGAAGAGCACTGTGAACACAGGTGTCGGAGAAGAGCAGTGTGAACACAGGTGTCGGAGAAGAGTGTTGTGAACACAGGTGTCAGAGAAGAGTGGTGTGAACACAGGTGTTGGAGAAGAGCCGCGTAGACACAGGTGTCGGAGAAGAGTGGTGTGAACACAGGTGTCGGAGAAGAGCTCTGTGAACACAGGTGTCGGAGAAGAGCGGTGTGAACACAGGTGTCGGAGAAGAGTGGTGTGAACACAGGTGTCGGAGAAGAGTGCTGTGAACACACGTGTTAGGAAATTGCTTACTGGAATAAGCTCACTTGATCCCTTCACAGAAACATTTCCATTGTATTGTACTTAATTGGCAGCAGCAAAAGGTAGTCTTTATGTGTCAGCAGAAGTCTAGAAAGGGCAGTTCAAAATAAATAACCCAAATGAACTGCTAGGTAGTGTTTCTTCCCAACATCTTTTTAAAATTCATTATCTCTGTGTTTATTATTACACTTAAATTTAGCAACTATAAGATAGATGTGTTTTTGAGGATCAAACCCCAAAGTAGCTTTGGCAGAGGTGGGTCTTTCTGCCCAACATCTTAAGTACTACTTGGTTTCCCACCATTTCAGCCTTCATTGGCACCCTATTTTTCCTGTTTCTTTTTCTCCATCCTCCTCATTGCTGGCCAAGTATACTTCTCTACAGGAACATTTGGTACAGAAATGAGCTAACAAATAGGCTGATGGTTAAATGTTAGAATTATTAAAATGGCACATGCAGGCAAATACTAATTTGTATTTTAGATTAAGGCATGAGAAATGGACAGAAATTCCTTGTTTGTTTTATCAAGAAGAAACCATATGTTTCAATTTTAAGACTAACAAATGAAAGATAGGGAGCTCAAATGGATTCCTGTGCTGGGCGTTGACAGTGCATGCTATAATTCCAGGCTCAGACAGAAGGATTTCAAGTTCCATGTCAACCTTGGCTACAGAGTGAGACCTGCCTCAAAAAGAAGATACGTACTTCAAAATTTGCTATTTGATTTTTGTTTCGATTTCAAAGTTAAGATAATATGAAGGGATAATATGGGGTAGACAAAAAAGCTGAGGGTCACACCCCAAAGGAAAGCTGCTGCGAGGAAACAGAGGGCACACACTAAAACTGGGAAGAGACTAACAAGCTAATGTGTAAAATACTGATTCAGGTAACAGTCCAAGATGGCAGAGTATACCCACCCAACCACTGCCAAGTTCTCCTGGGAATAGGACTGAAACAGAGAGGAGCTAACTACCCTTGAGGTAGCTGGTGTTAGTTGTTGGTGGAAAGGCAGAGATATGAGAAAATGCAAATCTTTCTGGAGAGTAGAACAGAGGACAAGAAAGAGCATCCTTGTACATGGTAATAGCACAGTAGCGGGCAGGGGCTGGAGTAAAGAAAAGGAGAAACTTAGAAAATGCAGTCTTCTCCAGTATGCAAAAGTCAACCTTGACATGAAACACGGACTTTGCATAGCATCCCGGCACTGGCCGAAGTTTCCCTACTTCCCACCACGTAATCATGCTGCAGTACTTAAGGTCTCCCCTGAACTGCTCCAGGATTCAAAGCTACCTACATTTATTTGTCTCCCGAAACCCACAGGAAAACCCACTAACTAATCTAGGAAGTGTTAGACCAGACAGCCAATCAGCTGGCTGCTGGAAAAGACTTAACCAAAGCCTCTGAAAGTTCTATGCTAGCCTTTCTCACTACTCTTAATATATAGCACCTGAAATCTTAGCCAGAGCAGCAAGACAAGAGAAAGAAATAAAAGTGAAACAAACAGAACAGGATGAAGCCCAATATCCCTATTTGAAGATAAATTCTTGTATTTAGACCCTAAGATAGAAGAATCAAAGATCTGATAGAATTTCAGCAAACAGGCATGATACAAAATCAACAAAGAAGATCCAGTAACTTTTTTTTAATATAAAACTTGACCTTGAGAAAGAAATCAGAAAAAACAATGCCATCTAGTATACCATAAAAAATACCAGGAATAGGGGCTGGAGAAATGGCAAAAGCAGTACGTCTCTGCACTTCACATCAGAAGACATCAGCTGCTTGTAACTTCAGGTCTGGGGGATCTGATGCCTTCTTCTGGCCTCTGCAGGCACTGTATTCATGTGCCCCAAATGCACACATAATTAACAATAGAATATTTTTAAGTACCTAGGAATAAATCTAACCAAGGAGGCAAAATTCCTCTATAATATAACTACAAAACATGTATGAAAGAATCAGAGGAATATACTAGAAGACTGAGGAACTTCACAAAGTAGCAGAATTAAAATTGTAAAAATAGCACTGTCGCCCAAAGTGGTCTGTGGTAGAGTGTAACCAACCTTCAAAATTCAAACTACATTCTTCAGAGAACTAGAAATCGGCCCTAAATTTCATGCAGAAGCACAAAGGATACAAACAGCGAAGGCAGCTCTCACTGAAAAGAAGAATGCCAGAGGCATCAAACCTGACCTCAAATTATACTACAGAACCATACTGACAAAGTTGCCAAAAATAAAACTTGGAGGAAAAAAATAGTCTCCTCAACAAATGGTACCTGGAAAACAGAATTTATCTACATGTAAATGCTACTTTTTGTTCTGTTTTTTTTTTTTTTTTGAGACAGGGTTTCTCTGTGTAGCCTTGGCAGTCCTGGAACTCACTCTGTAGACCAGACTGGCCTCAAACTCACAGAGATATGTCTGCCTCTGCCTCCCAAATGCTGGGATTAAAGGTGTGCACCACCACTACCCAACTTCTACATGCCCATGATTAAGACTTTATCCCTACTAATAATTCGATTAAAAATTAATTTAAAATGGCTCAAAGAAGTCAGGCAGTAGTGTCACATACATTTAATCCCAGCGTTCCAGGACAGCCAGGATTACACAAAGAAAACCTGTCTCCAAAGAGAAAGAAAAAAATCAAAGACTTTAATGTTAGACCTGATACTTTTAAACTACCAGAAAAAAAACCATGGTGAAATATGTCCTGATATAGGTATTAGTAAAACCTTTCAGAAATGAACTCCAAATCTTGGAAAATAATAGTAAGAACAGGCCAGTGGGATCCTATTAAGTTAAAAAAAATCCTTTGAACAGTAATGGAAACAATAGTAATGAAATAGCTTAAAGAATGGGTAAATCTTTGCTATTCATCTTAGAGGATTACTATCCAGTGTATATATAAAAAAACTAAAAAGAAAGAAAAAAGAGAAAAAAAACAGCAAAAGAATTAGTAATGAAATCAACAGAAGGACAAGTGACCAGATGTTTGTAAAAGTGTGATGGTCAACCAGCTGTGCTGGCTCATGACTAACTGCAGCACCTTGGAGCCTGAGGCAGAAAGACTGCCAATATGGGTGGGCAGTGGTGGCGCATACCTTTAATCCCAGCACTCTGGGGGCAGAGACAGGCAGATCTGTATGAGTTCAAGACCAGCCTGGTCTACAGAGAGATTTCCAGGACAGTCAGGACTATTGCATAGAGAAACCCTGCCTCAAAAAAAAAGCCAATATGGGCTCCATAGTTAGTTTCTAGGTCTGCCTGGACTACATTCCACATTCCAGTAGGTGTATATTTTTATGTTCACAAGCATATCTTATATTTTTAAGGCAATGGTATTTTTAGATAATATACTGTAATAACTGTAATTTAAATGTGTTGTATAGCAGTTTCCTCTAAAAAATGAACACTTCGTTCTGCAGGGAAGCCTTTAAGACAGAAGGCAAACAACTCAAAAAAAGTCTAGAAACTCAAAAAAAAAAAAACTCTAGAAAGTTACTGAAACTGACCAGATTCACTGGGCCCCTTCATTCTAGGAGTAAACAAGCCAAGCTGCAAAGAAGACTCTCAGACCAGGCAAGCTGCAAAGAAGACTCTGAGAGCAGAGCAGTGGCCTGGAAGACACAGAAACCAGCAGAGCTGCCTACGAGAGGTTTAGGCCAACTGAGGCACTTGGAAAGGACACTCTTCACCTGTTGAGCTGTCTGTGGTGTGTGCTCCAGGTTAAGTTGATGACTGGGTAATTTTAGTGATTTCTAGCCCCCTATAAACTACGGATTAGAAAGCAGTCTGACAGAACTTCTTCATGGTCACTCTGGAATGACAGGTATTTCTGTAGGGCATCAGAGGAAATAGTTAAAGAAATGATGGATAGAATCCCTAAAGTATATTGAGAAGA